TGTTGTGAACTCGAGGAATGAAAGGCAGATTTTTGCTAATGGGCTACCAAGTAGCAATAATAATAATAATAATAATCAAAAAAATGTGATGTTGCTGCGCTTCCCCCATTTACATGGGGAAGCGGGGATCGGGATGGCTCTGTGGGTTGGTAGGATGGTAGTCTCTGTTTTAAGCTGACTTCAAGGTGAGTGGCGAAGTTTTTTGTTACTGGGGTTTCAGTTAAAATCCAGCGTCGTCATTATTTTGCGAGCGTGATTGCTCCTTTTGTTTTTTGTCTTTAAATCTGGTCGCTGTTCCATTAGGAATCATTTGTCAATTAATGCTGTAACCAATAACGCCCCTGAAACAGGAGTGCCGAGGCAGTGTCACACGCAATAAGTTGTCATTTCCAGTACCGTGCTCAGACTTGGCTTGATTTTTTTTTTTTTTAAGTGTCAATGAGATCCACAAAGCAAGCCAAGTTTTACCAAGATTGAAATGTAGGTGAATGAGCTCCTGAGCCGATTTCCACTTTAGGCTGATCTTTCTGAGTTGGCACCAGGAATGAAGGCTCTCTATTTTCGACCCTGTTTGGTCTGAAATGATCGTCACTGTTTTAAGTGACTGCATGGCTGTTCTTCCAACTTGTCCTGTCCTTTGTTAGGAAAGCACACGAGCCCTGTTCTCACCTGGACTGAAGTGATGTTACTCCTTTTGCAGCACTGGAGCGATGGTGATTTTTTTTCAGTAGCTGAGGATATGGCCTGGGGGTGTCTTTTCTCATTTACCATGTGTTTGTATTTAATGCTTAGTTGCTAACGTAAGCACCTTGGATGTCATCTAGGTAATTTCTACACACACACAACTTGTTCTGGCCTTTCGGATAGGCACATTGTGTACCTACGGTGTATTTTTGTCAGTATGGGTTGGCAGAGAGGAGGAACAGATACGACTGTAAACTCTTACAGCTGGACAAATTGTGATTACGTTCAAATTTTCTCGTTGTTACATACTACTTTACTGATGATCAGACTGTGTATTTTCCTGCCTCTTACCATAGACTAAAAACCACAGGACATGAACTAGCTGTAATGTCAGGGTACCGTTTCGGCTTGGTTGCTATTTAAAGAGGAAGGAGCTATGTTTAGTCCTCCAAATGTAATTTTATAAAGCCCATGGACTGGAGTAATTGGCACTTTAATAGTAAATCGGTGGGACTCAGGGATGCCACTTGTGCAGAAGCTAAAACAACTGTCTGTGTTCATGTGCTAAATGCAGCGGGTCTGGTGTATCGGGGCGGGGGGACAGGGATTTCCAGTCCTACAAAGGCCAGCAGGAGTTTTACCGTTGCTTTCAGTGGGAGCAGAGGTACATTAATGCTGGGTATTTATGGCAGTCCCCACCTCGGCCCCGTCACCAATGCAGATAGCTGCACAAAGGGCCATAAGGTACGGGGGCCGTCTTTGTCCCCGCTTTGCACAGCACCTTGCGCAGTGGGCTGGCAATCGGAAGCCGCGGCTCTCGGGCACTAGGAAATGCAAACAGCAAAGACTGAGGACGGCTCCTTTTAGCTTTCATTGCTAATAGTGGCAGCGAGTGCTGTTGTGCAGCACTTCCGGAGCAAGGCTGAAACTTTGCAGACAAGGGTAACCAAGTGTGAACAGATGGTGCCAGCACCCACTTTGCAGCCGGGAAGAGCCACAGCAAGTGCCATCCATTGCGGCTGTGCAAGGCAGGGGGCTAGTTCTGGCCTCCCATCCTCACAGCTCCTGAGAGCCTCGGGGAAAGCCATTGGGAATATATATGCCTCTTTGCCGCTGCAGGGCTTGTGCACACCACGCCATTCAGAGGGAGCCGGCGGGTCTTGGGCAAGCTCAGCTGTTTCGTGGTGGAGTGGCATGCAAACGCGGGGGAGGGATCCCTATATGTGCAAACACTCACTCTTTGCACACTCTTCGCAGGACTGCTTATTAAAACAGAAGGTGTCCAATGGCCTGATTCCCTGCCTTCAAGTTGCTTTGGTCTTTTTGAGCTAATCCAGACAGACAGGTCTCTAATGAGTCTGCTGCTGAGGTGAAGTTTGATTATTTCTGGGACCTCAAAGGATGCGTCTCCTCCAGCAAACTAACCTGTAGTGCCGGAGGAGTCTCCTAGGCACCTATAAGACCCATTGCAAGAGCTGCCACTTCATTCACTTGAATGTGATCTCTATTGAAATATTCTTCGTAATCCTGCTCTGCAGGGTGAGGAGTGGGGATGTCCCACCCACCCTGCCAGAAAGCTTGGGACAGTCCCCTCGTCCTGCTTTGGTGGGAAGTCTTCCCGCTGCTGCACCCAGAGCCGCAAGCGCCGGCTCTTTTTTTCCTGTCTGCGGTCAGGCCGTTTTCTGGGAAAAGCCTGTAAATGTTTAACAAAAACCGGTCTCCGAGAGTGATCATAAAGGGGCTGAGCCAAAGCCCATTAAACTGGATGGAAACATCCCTCCTTGCACTTCAGATCAGGCTCCAAGTGTGTGACAAGGGAGGGGGTGCACGGACTGCCGGACGCCTGCGTAAGGCCACGTGCCAGGACCCGGCGGCCGAATAGTCCTGGGGTCTCGCTGCAGCTCCAGGGGCAGGTGTGAGCCCTGCCCTGGGTTCCCATGAGGGCTGCTCCCATTGCTCTGCTTTGGCCATGTGGGCTGGGGGGAGCCCAACACAGATGGAGGGCCTGGTGCGAGCCACGTGTCCCACGTGCCATTGTCTACAGACACGGGGCACGTCTCGTCTGATGGGCAGGACTGGGACTCTGCGGGCACGGGCTCTGCATCCCAGCTTCTTGGACCTTAGATGCTGGAGGTTGCAAGCGGGAGAGGGACAGAGGGGGAAAACCCAGTTCAGTCCCCCCTTCAGCCTCCGCTCTCTGCTGCTGTGTGACATAGGAGACTGGGCAAGATGGACCTACGGTCCGGGCATCTCTTAAGCTATGCTACCCCATCCCATGGCATGCCATCCCGTGTTTTCCTTGGATATTTTTCTTTTAAATATCAGTTGAAATCCGTGTAAAATAAAGGAGGAGAAAGTGGACGGGAATTGGAGCATATTGCAAAAGAAAAGCAATGGTGTGAAACCCGGGACAGATGGCAGCTTATCAGATGTGGGAGTTCTCCCTCCTGTTACCGGGTGGAAGTGCACCCAGGCAGCAGGTGCTTTATTAACGAGCCATACGACCGTCAGCTGTGACAGGTGACCATCTGGGTCCAAACGCAACCAGGCTGGTGAACTCGGCGCTTGGGGTAGATGCCTCGCGTTGGGCAGGCACAGTGCCCTCTCGCCACCCCTGCCAGAGTCGGGAAAGGCCGGCTTAATTCCCTAGAAACGTCCACCCTAACGTCTCTGCTTCCTGCCCGCATTTCTGAAATATTTCACGGCACGTCGTATATTTTTAAACGTGTGAAACAAGCGCTGGCTACGCTGCCGGGTTTTAAATGTGCAGGGCATGCCAACGCGAATGGCACGAAGTGCAGGGGCGAAGTGGATTCGAGGCAGGCCATTTGTTTTTCATTACATTGTGCTACTCCAATATAAGCAGTAAGGTATGTGTTTATGTTGCCGTGGACATGTGAAGCCAGACATAGAAAACATTCCTCTAAGGTTGTATAAACTCCGGCATCTAAATATTTTAGGAGCCGTTTTCTAAGGGCGGCTTAGTAGTTTAAAAATATAACCTAGATTCCAGATATTAAAAAATGCCTTGAGAGGTATGTGTATCGCCACAACAGGAGAAACTAATGGAGCCCCCGAAGTAGGCACTAAGCTCCCAGGCTGCAATATCTTCTGTGTTACTTATCCTGTTCTTTTATTTCTTGTTAACGTCAGGAGATTAAATCCAAGAAAGCTTTCAGATATGTCGTGGCAGCAGTGGAATTTTTCAGCATATCTTAACCGGCTGACTCGACTTTTCAAAACAAATCTGTTTGCGATGGACTTGTTTGGTCCTTTTAGATGCAGTAAATAGGAAAAATCGGCAAGAGGAAGACAACGGCCGAAAACGTTCTCATTTCTTCTAGCCGTTGTTAAAGGGGAAGGATCAAGTATTTTCAGGCCCCTTGGGGAGCAACTTGGTCTTGGGTCTTCATAGACTTCCCCAAGACTTGGTCTTGGGTCTTCATAGACTTCCTTGGCAGCGGTGGTATAGGTTGAGGGTGCTGTGATAAATTGAGGCATGACATGAGGAGATTGAGGCTATTTTTCTCAGTGAAGATCTTTGCAATCTGCACGATGATCCATGGGATCATCATGGCAAGGTTAAGCCCCCACGTGGCTGGCATCTCTTCCACCGTTGTTGACTCTCCGTCCGCAATGACTAGGTGCCCGTTCGCGAGTGGGTCATCTTGGGGTAGGGGTGACGTTAGGCCTGGCTACATTCAACAAGACTTTTGGGGGGCTGGCCTGGGTCCAAACTGGGGCTGGCTGCCGTTCTGTACCGCACGCCTGGGTTTCTACTTGCAGCCCTTACTTGCACGATTATTGTTGGGTCTCAGTTGAGGAAGGGCTGACCCACTCCCAGTTCTGTGCACTTTGACTGGTGCTCTCAGCGCTTCCTAAAGTCTGGTGTCTCACTGCTGATTATATTTATATTATATGTAAGGATGAAGATCCTACACCACCTAGCAATTACAGAGTAATTTAGGCCCAAACTCCCAGTGATTGCAATGGGCCTGAGAGCACATTGAAGCTGCCTCAGAGCAAACTTCTGCAATATTTTTGCCCCGTTGTCTGTTCTGATGATGATTTGAGATGCCATTTCATATGCAAACAACCCTGATTCTTTAAGGAGCTGGTGCTTGGACCAATTACCTTTTCCTTTTGTCTCAGCCACCCTTAACCTCAACTTAAGCCATGGGGGAGGAAGAGGTTTTGCTTCATAAGCGTAGTTCCTCGTGTTTAAGAATCGGTCGGCCCGTGGAACGGGGAAGGAGTTGGGAAGGGGGAAAGTAGCAAAGTTTTGTTGGGTGTGACTCTGAAATTGTGCCTTCCAGCTGCTGAAAGGGATGTCGGTGCCGCGGCAGAAAACTCCCGACAAAACCATGGACGAGGACGAGTCGGAGAGTGGGGACTGCGATGATGAAGACGACTGCAGCGGGGCCTCCGGGAACGGAGACGTCAGAGTGAAGAACCAGCTCCGGTTCTTAGCAGGTGACAAGACTTGTGGCTTTGCTTTCCATTGCAGTTTGAGGAGGTAGCCAGCCTTGGAGATCTGGAGCAAGATCTGGAGAGCTGGGTCAGTGAGCATTGAGTTTAAAGTGGTTTAAAGCCGCAGCGATGCTCCAGCGAGTTGATGGCGGGGCCTCCGGGAACGGAGACGTCAGAGTGAAGAACCAGCTCCGGTTCTTAGCAGGTGACAAGACTTGTGGCTTTGCTTTCCATTGCAGTTTGAGGAGGTAGCCAGCCTTGGAGATCTGGAGCAAGATCTGGAGAGCTGGGTCAGCGAGCATTGAGTTTAAAGCGGTACGGAGGGTTTAAAGCTGCAGCGATGCTCCAGAGAGTTGATGAGCTACTTCCCTAGAGGCATTGTGGCACAATGGGACCTTATCTGCCCACCTTCCTGTAGACCTGGCTTCCACGTAGCTTTGCAGGGTCTGTTACGGTCATGTAATGCTTCTGGCCCCGTCACATTCCTCCTTTGCCCAGTGCATCCTGCAGACGCCGTGGACTCAAACGTGGTTGCTGGCCGGTGGTTCCTGCTCGCTTCCCCTCCGGGGTGGGTTTGGTTGGGAGAATCGCATTCCTCCCTGGGGAAAGTCTCATGTTCAGAAGTGACCGAGGAGCCTCATTTCCCTTGGAGTCCAAGGAGATGGATGTTCCTAAGTGCCACGGTTGCTTCTTGGGCATCTGTAGCATTGAGATGGCTTAGAAAATGCAACCTGGGAACAGGGTAATGGGGGAACTGCTCTGATTTGACAAGATGCTGCTGATGTTAATACATAGCAACTTCTCAAATTTCTCCCCCTCTCTATGCCTTGTTAGACACGGACGACTCCACTGCCGTCGCTCGGACCAGACGGTTTGTTTTAGGCCAAATCTTCTGCGGACGTAGACTGACCGTCGAGCTTCAGTGCAGTCGTGCTGGTTTGCACCGGGCTTGGGCCAACTTAAACGTGTGGGCACGTGCTCAATTTGCTCCCGTCCTGGGAGCTGCATATTCCTCTTCCTAAAGACCAGACAACCGAACCGGGATAAGATCAGCCAGGGCCGCTTTGAAGTTTGAGAGGCAAATTTGGACTCTGAAACTAAGCACAGATATTTATAGACTTCCTTCCATTGAGCTAAGACGATTAAAATATTCTTAATGAGCCGAAACTAAAATAGTACACGCGCCAGGTTTGTAGCAAAGTTGTGTATTTTATGTTATGTGTAAATACAATATTTATATTAAAATATCGGTCCAGAGACAGGGAAGGCGTTTTGAATCCCGTACTCCAGCCCGAAGTGATGTTAGGCAATAGACTGCAGATAGAAAGCAGGATAAAATGGATTTTCTCTCATCCAGTAACTAAATATCAAGGTCCATGTGCGAGAAACTCGGATACAACCCCTGAGCATTTCCTAAATGGTGCATTTTTTAGCTTTGGAATCTCCATAATGAATTCAGTCGTGGATGGACCAATGTCCCATTGCTAGCAGTGCCTGAAAGGGAGAGAAAGTGAGATGTGGAATGGATTTGGGGATTTTGCAATGGAGAAAATACAGGATGTTGGGTCCTGGTCAGAAGTTAAAGTGAAAAAAGGTTCTAGTTTGCAGACAGGAGGCTTTTGGTATCAGAAAGTTGCATGCTACTTTTCCTAACGAGGACATTGCTGTGGCAGTACCGGTGATCTGAAGTGCCTCGACTCCCGAGAGCCGGCACCCTGGGTCTGCCACTTGCCTGCGAGCTGCTCCTGGCCAGCACTTTTGCTGCCAAGACGCCCCCCTCAATGGCTTGGGGGACGGAGATGGGGGGAGAAGGGAGCACTTTTAAAGTGGACTAGTTTTGATTTATCTCCTGTTGCATAAAGTATAACCTTTGTTTCCTATCCGTAATGACCCCGTAAAAGCTGGTCAGTTGACTTAAACACTAATGATTTAAACATACTTGTAAAATGTCGAGTCAAAAGTTTGCGAGTGACTCTAAACATATGTTGGCGAGCTCTGTATGCTAATCAATTCATGATTATGTTGCCCCAGTGGAAAAAGCACCAAGATGGAGGGCTTTGGTGATGGGCCTTTTATTGTTTCTCACATCTGCAACGCATTACCGATTTTGAAGGCTGATAATGTTTACAATAGCTGAATGATGGAAAAGCTCCCAGATCAATGAGGAGCGCTTCCTGTTTTGAAACGCGAAAGCCGCAGACGCTGCACCGGGGCCACGTAAATCTTAAAATAGATACGTACACACGCACACATGTATTTAGGCACCACCAGTGGCAAATCATGTCTGCGAATAAATTACAGTATTTCTCCCCCCCACAAATGGCGAGGTATTACAAATGTATTCCAGAAGCGAAGCTACAAACATGCATTCACACGCTGCTGAAATCAATCATTCTGCACTTGTACCCAAAGCAAACAGGCCTCTTGGTCGCTGGCAGCCTGCTGGCATTCCAGATAGCCACCGCTAATTAGCTCGCCTCTGGAAATCTCCGTCAAGATGCCGATTATAACCCAACAGCCGGTGGCCAGGATCCCTGAAAATGAAGCGTGGGTCGTGGGGACTGGCTTGGAGAACAGCAGGGTCCTTTCATTGCGTCTAGCAAGTCCTGCTCAGCCATGTAGGGCGGATAGTGGCATTAGAGCGTCTTGCAAACTACCATGCCTTGTCCCAGGAGAGACGGGCAGATTGGGTAGGACCCTTGTGGGGGGGGGCGTGGAATTTGTGGCTAGCTCAGCATCTTCATCTAGGTGGGTCCCGCAGCAGTGCCCCTTGCTCCTGCCCGGACAGGGAAGGCGGCAGGTTTGCAGCGAGGTGTGCTGGGCGTGGGGAAGGTGGAGGACTGAGCTGTGGCTCGGGTCATAGAGCATCTCTGCCCCTCCTCAATGCTAAGCCTATTTCTCTGGCAGGCTTAGGCAGGGGCTGAGCCACGAGTCTTCCTGCAGGAGCGGAGGAGCACAGGGAACCACACAGAGCAGCAGCGGGGCTGCGAGACGTGTGCGCCTGTGCCCATTCTGCAGGTGGCACTAATGGCACCAAGTTAGATGCTTAATGGAGGGAGGGAAGCCGAATCAGCTCTGATCCCCCTGGCTCCTATCTGAGCTTGTCCTTGCGCCTTGCTAGTGCTGTGTGTTGTAACCAAAGCCTATTGCACACGCACACAGGCTCCCGTATTTACGGCACAGTTGCCCGGTGTCTGTTCTGCGATGCCTGTTATTGGGGCTCGCTTGGCTAGTGCTATACCCTTTGGACAAGGATGCTTAAAGGGACTCTATCAAGGTGCAGGCTTCCCCACTGCTTATCAACTGCGATCACCTTTAGAAGTCTTACAGCGTGATCGTTGCTTCCAGTGAAAACCCATTAAAGCCCCAAAGCTGTAGCGTGCCTTTGTGTTAGATTTTCAGCAAACGAGCTGGCATTCCCCAATAAGTATTGCAACTAATGGACACCCTCGCGTGTGGCTTCCTCGTGTCTCTTTTCTTACGCTACTTCTGCAGCTAAGCTGATTGCCCACAATATTTTTTTCCAGTGCAGACTTAGGGGCTGGGCTTCCAGGGGTCTGTTCCATAATTTAGTAGACCTCAATGTGAGACCATCACTCCTGACATTCAGCACAGCCTTTCCTTTGGCTAATTTAATCTCGTTACCCCTCCCTGCCATGCATCTCCTTAGGCGCTGTAAAGCCAAGCTCATTATATTTACAGGGATCATCCAACAATGCGGTGTCCCTCTCTCTCCCCACATGTGCATTTCTGCTGTGTAGAGGAAGTGCAAGAAAACTTGCCCTCTGCCACGGTCGTCGAGTAGACCCCATCCTTCGAGCAGAATCGCTCCTGCAAACCGGTGGTGGGCGTTGAGCGCCGGCTCTTGAAAGGCACACTTGCCGCGCGTGCTGTTTAGGCAGTTGTGTCGCAGGCCCGCTACGTGGGCGAGCGAGCCGAGTTGCACGTGGAGACGCGACGCTTGTGTTGGAAGGAGGGCCAAAACTACTTTTGATCTTTACAGGGTAATTTCCTTTGGTCCTTCATCTTTTTGGTGGCTTTTCTAGGGATTCCTTTCAGCGCAACCGTAGCGGAGAGGTCTACATCGAATGGCATTTTAAGCGCCATTTTAACCTATTAGGAAATATTTCCAGATCTTCCAAACAAGCTCTTGGAGGATTCGGTGTCGTTTCCAGCGTTCGAACGCTGTAGTCCTTCTGGAGACGCACGTGACATTTTGCGTGTGTATTTATTTACGAGACGAGATGAACGGATACGATTTGCATGTGCATACGCTTTCTCTTCTCTGTTGCTTTCCGCAGCATGAAGTGGTTTGAGGGTTTTAATCATAATCCACCTAGCAGCAACTTTTAATTGTAAATTAACTCTTTTTTCCCTTTGGATACCGTAATATTTTAATAAAGTGAGAACAATACAAACATGCTGTTTAACAAGACAGTAATCCTGTCCTAGAGTGAACCCCCCCCCTTGCAAGGCCAAATGTCAATTAAATTATCCTGATAGGAGAATTGGATTTGTGCCAATTAAAACAGTGCAGCGGGGCTGCTATCACTATCCAATACAAGTGTTTATGTGTTTGTTGACATTTCTGTTCTCCTTTTAATGAGGATTTCGTAAGAAGTCAAGAATTCTCTGTCATTATGCAAATTCAAGCTGGAAGATGGAGGAGTCGTCCCTTGTAACAGTTGATTGCATCTCTAATTGCACTGACTGGCAAGTTCATTAATTCACTTTTGTTTTGCTATTTTAATTGAAGGATACGAGGCACACAACAATGAACTTTAGTGAAGTCAGCAAAAACCAGTCTGCCTATTGACAGGCTTGGTGATTTATCAGTACCTTTTAGAAGTGGGATTGCTAATAGCTTCTGCCTTACTTGAATGTATTTGGTGCAATAAGTCCTTCAGACCCTGATGCCCGATGTAACGTGCGTTTTGGGAGGCGGTTGCAGCTTTTACATTGCCAGGTTCTGTAGAACTGCAGGTCCATAATTCACCAAAATAGATAGTCGAGGGAGGGGTCCGCTATAATACCTTTGTAGCTAGGGCTGGAAAATCCGTGTTTGTGCCAAAATGTGAACGAACTCAACAAGCAGCTGTGCTAATGACTTTAATCCTGTATTTGTGTTTGTTCCTGGTGGTTGTTGGTTTGGTCTTTTTTAAATCCTTCAATGCCACATTCCTGGTAGTGGCTCTAATTTGGAGCCACTTATTTCGAGAGTTTGTCTTGTGTGAACTGGTTGGACGGCATCTTGGCCCATTTTAAGATGGGCAAAAATAATGTTCTGTGTATTTTGGAGCCCGGGGGAGCAGGAGACAATGAAATCAGGGCAGCCACTTGGCCAAAACTGGCGCACTGAGCCCAGTTTTCAAATAGTTGCCTGAAATGACTGCATCGGCATTTGGATTCTCAAGGCAGCACGTCCAAGTTATTGGGGTCTGTACAGGGGTCATCGGGCAAAATGAAATGGCCTGTGATATACAGGAGGCCAGTTTGGATGATATAAGGGATCCTTCTGACCTTACAAGCGATAAACCATTGATATGGATTTTGCCCTCCCGTGAAATTGTGGAAACGAGACTCCTCCTGACTGCTTACCCTGCCCCAGCATATCAATGTGCCTCTGCGAAACACTTGATCTTTATTTCAACTCCAGTGCAGGTTGTTTAGTTTTAGCAACAACCTGTTTAATGCCAACACGCTTCAGGAGACCCTTCAGCAGTGCAATTTTGGAGGCTGATGTGTCTCTTTAAATTGCTATTGGAACGTGGCATTTTGTACGGCGAAGGCATCAAAACAATTTCAAGTATGCCTGGCTCGTTTGCAAACATCCACCTCTTTGCAATGCATCCACCTGCCTCTTTAAGGAATCACAAATAGATTTTCCTCTAGGTGAAAAGAGGCAAATCCGTCTCAGGCTGTGAATTCCCTTTCCC